TTTCTTATAATAAATAATTATTTTTTTATGTATATTTTTACATAATATTGTATATTATTTTGTAGCCCATTAAATAAATTATAATATCAGTTGAGTATTTATGAAATTAGATTGTTAGAACAATTTAGGGGGCGGAACCATTTCTTTAAAGGGGGGCGCAGGACAAAAGGGTTGGAAATCACTGAGTTAAGGCATGAAATAGTAATACCTAAACAAACTCACATTCGAATTTCTAATATTAGTTCGGATAAATGCAAAAAGTAAATGTTGAATTTTAACGAGTTTACTAATACTATTACTATGACTGTTTCTTAGCTTCAAGTAACGAAATCACCACAAATGCAAGTACCTATTTCGTCACCTGATGGGGTGATAGTTTGTAGGGAAACAATTGTAGTAAAGTTAATTGATTCGTTGAAACTCAACACGTTGAGTTTTTTATCAATACCTAGTACTATTAGATTATTACCATGGAGCGATTGATTATCTAATAATTCATTTCTATTTTTCTCCCTGACACTTATCGATTAAATGGCTTATTCTATCTAATAATAATAATAATAATATGAATGTAAGGCACCTAATGAAAGTGTGAAGTAATTAAATGAAACGGCTTTCGGAATAACTGAAAATTGTAAATAAGAGAAGCGCGGGTTTAATATAAGGCAAGCTTGGCGTTAGATTGACTAAATAACATGGTTATAAGCGAAACAGGGCTGCATTCAGAATGTACAAACAAAGAGCAGAATTTAATGTAGTAAATCTTGATATAAATTAAACCGATTATAGCAAAATTAACCGAGTGAGTGTCTTTATGCTAACTAAGGCGTATATACGTATAATGCGTAAAATAAAATGAATTCTAAATGTATTGACTAGCACATTGTCATATCCAAGACACAACCATTGGATATGAGTAAATTACGTACGGCTAGCACATTAAAATAAATAGATTTATGCTTATTTTTTTGATTTTTAAATGTTTACCGGTCGAATTTTTGTATACATATTCTTTTAATGAAATTTAAAATTTACTGTTTAATATATTTGATTGTATTTGTTTTAAGATCTTGTAAAGGGTGCATTTATGTCTTAGAAGAACAAATTTATTTCGACATTTTAAAAGTTTGTGCCCTGGATGCCCCGCTAAAGCCGTCACTGCCCACATCGTATTTCTAAATTAACCAACCCAAAAATAAGTATAAGTATATATTAGTGCGTTAATTTTTGAAAGAGTTTTATCAACTACAGGTAACTTCAAATTAATGAGGAAAAAATCAAAGCATCCCATTAATAATAATGATTATACATTAGTTACATTAGTCAGATATAAGGACGGAAGGAGTAGTAGGGATATAAAGCAGAGGTTAGCGCAGAGTCGAGTCGTCTTCAATAACGAGAAGTCTCTTCTCTGCTCACGAACGGTTAATTTAGAAATTCGAAAAAAGATTGTTAAAGGTGTATGTTTGAAGCGCGGCGCTGTACGGGTGCGAAACATGGACGGTGGGCGCTGCGGAAAAGAAAAGGTTAGAAGCGTTCGAAATGTGGTGTTACAGGCGAATGACGAGGATACCGTAGATAGAGGTTAGAAATGAAGAGGTATTTGACAGAAGAATAGGAGAACAGAGGACTTCATGGAAGTCAATAAGAAATAGGCGAGAAAGTTGGTAGGACACCTTCTCAAGCATGAAGGTCTAGTCAGAGACATATTAGAGGCAGAAACAGGAGTTAGGAGGGGTAGATTAGATTACTGTTCGTAAATAGTTAAGGATGTGGGTTGTTCTAGTTTTAAGGAAATGCGAAGATTAGCTCAGGATAGGAAAGACCAGTCTTAGGACTGACGACCTTATCATGATGATAATACATTAGTTCGACGATTTTGAGTCCTATACTCTCAGGTATTTATCGTCGGTGTTGCTGCTCGTTAATTATCTGGAATGAGTAAAATTAATTCACTAATACATTGAATTAACGCTACAAAAATTGAATATATTTCGAGTATAAGTGTGCTATGAAATTCTTTAGAAAGTCGACCATATATAAAACTATCTGTATTGTATAGGAAGGCGATAAATTCGATTCATTTGTGAAATTTTAAATTTCAGATGGTAAAGCGTTGGCCGTATCGAGGGACTGCAAGTTCATAGAAACGTCAAGTGGGATTCAGCACAACGTGGACGAGCTCCTGGTAGGGATCCTTAAACAAATCAGACTGCGGGAATCTAGGGACAAGAAACGAGGAACGTCTAAAAATAAACTACACGGTTCGAAAACTAGTTTGAGCTTGAGCATTGCCCGTGAGATACTTCAAAAGATTTGTATGAATGACATAACCAAATCTCGATCTTGCGAAAATCTGCATGTACTCTAAGGATTCGTGAAAGGTTTACGATAAACAAATTAAGGGATGAAACTATAAACAAGTAATAATAAGATTAGGATGATTAAATGGGGAAAAAGGGTATTTTTCAGTCTAAATTTTTTCTCAAAATAATGTTTGAATCCTTGAAGCAAGATAAAATCTTGATTGTTCTCGTGGTCCTACAATTAGTATCTATTTGACGGTGGTGCTAGCTTCAAAACATTTTTTATACTTTAATCTTCGAGATAAATGATTATTAAGGTGTAGAAGTTCTTCAATGTGGATATAATTCACTTTTTTGACTGAATGTGTAAAATTGTTTTGCATTTTCTCTTAGCTCTTTTGGCTTGTTTTTTCGTAATATGTGCCAGAAATGAAACAAATTTCCAATATACCTACTATACCTTCATTCCTTTCTGCTTTCTATGGCAAACGATTATTTTGCTTAAAAACTTAATTCTCTGAAAGCAAATTGAGAGGGGGTTAAAAGAAATTTCATTCTAATATTACATTTTCGTCAAATTTATTACAGTAGGAACTTCGTAATAATTTTGAAAATCGACGATTGATAGCAACCCTACACATAGCATCCGTGGATATGTAATTAACCTCCTACCTCCTAACCTCCTATTCAAGCATTGGCCTAATGTTTAAGGCTTAATTTCAGAAATGATCCCGCTAATCCCTACGGAAAATAGCCTTCTGTCAAACTCTTTGAAACTGTGTGTTCTGGTAGTTGTCGATATGTCAATGGGGCCTATGTTGTAAAAACCATCTTTTTGAGATGTGGTCCCTTAAAATTATATTCATTCGGGAGGATTTCGAAGGTAGGATTATACCTATTATACGTATCAAATACATTCAAGTATATATGCATATGTTGATGTATTATACCTATATGTATTGCATACTACGGATGTCATGGGTTTGGACCAGAAATACTGTAGGTATGAGCGCAAGCACAATAATTAGACAGCTTAATTTAATTGTATTTGAGGGATGTTTAGTTCCTACAATTAGTTTGCCTGCTTACAAAAAGTATTGAAATAGGCAGAAATTACAGCCGATGCGAAGTGTGTAACAGTGTTGATTATTAATTTTTAACAATATTCTGCGAAACATTATGTAAAAATCAGTAAGTTTTCAATCTTTAAGAAAAGTTAGTAATGTTTCAAACAGTTTGACAGATGGTCATTTTCCGTAAGGATCTAGCCGTAGGGCTTAATGAATAAATGTGTCCAGTTTTTATAAAACCGGCCCTGGGTGAATTTTTCCGTGGATATTGGAAATAATATATACCTAACACAATTTTACTTGTACCTATGATTTTCAAAACCGATTTAGACACATAACTATTTTGTACCTAATCGATTACAATTTCCAGTTCAAGTACTAAACTATTGGTTAAACTTAAACTCTTTATAGAAAATTATTTTAATGTATGATTCTATTGGAATTTATAGTAGAAATATCTTCAATATTAGNTGATAAAAGTTCAGGTTTTAGTAACAACATATCTTTATTGCTTCTGCACGTAGTGTATATCTGAAGAAGCCACTATATACTGAGTAAATCATTGTGGAAGCAATAAATATATATTGCAAATAAAACGTGTTTTTGTTATTAAAAATCAGTCATCCGTTATATGCATATGTGTAGATTATGCCTATTTAAAAAATGAGATGACATCATTTATTTCTATGTTAATAAATTGCCGATAACATTACCTATTTTTAGTTGTAAGGAATATGTAACGCTTTTCCTACTACTGTATAAAATCATGTATTATCTAAAATCATCATACATATCTGAATTTTGCATCTCCTAACTTGTAGACAAACTTTCATTCTGTTTAATTCTTTCTATGAGAAACTCAGAAAACTGACCAAAAAGTAACCACCCTGTAGTACACGATACAAACCCATATTTACTATCTTTCCATGATGTTATTTGCCTTAAAATTTGGCTCATTTTGTAATATAAGCTATTTAGCGATTCAATATGTATACACATACACACGTTTTTAATTTACTTTCTTATTCTTATTTCATGATAGATGAATAAAAATTTAAGGAATGTCCGATTATAAAGCAATGGATACAATTAAACATCATCTAATGGCCAATTCGATTTCAAGCTATATAGAATTGCAGATATTTTTACAATTTTTTAGTTATTACGCTTTTATGTTAAAATATTTAAAGTTTATAATACCGGAGGGGAAATATTTTGTTGAAACAAATCTGCATCAATCGCTAATTTTTCACGCTTGTAGCTTAATTATGACAAGTATAATTATTAAATCCTAAACATGATATTAAATGAAAGGCTGTATTTTTTTTGCGATTTGTTGATAAACCACACGAAAGCTCATAATGAGTTCTTTATACAATTTGTCTAGTACCTAATCTATTATATTGATTTTTATATTGCTTAAATATTAGGCTTTCAACAAATTCAAGCATGTTCGATTATTTCTTTAATATTATATTTTATATGCATTTGTTTCAAAGGAGATCGTCAAATGGACAAATACAGGAGCTAGACGGAAAACAGGAGTAATCACCCTAACAATTGTACAGTTTAGGTACTCGATATATCAACAATATGTATAAATCCGTGAGTTATCGGATTGTACATTTTGTTAAAATAAATCATCAATCAGGTAAATTATATAAACAGCAAACTATAAAAGCTATTTGATGAAATACCTAATTGCTTAGTTTCAAAAAAAAAATATTTAATGGGTTTAATTATGGGGATGTTACAATTTCATTATATCATACCTTTTTAAAATATTCAACAACAAAGCTTAATCGATATTGGTGAAGAACAGAACTCGCTGCGCACCGAATTCATTAAAACAGACAGACATTTTTTAATAGGGAATTCGATACAGAAAGGGAGCAAAATTCGAATAATATTCAGTATTTAAAAAATTATTTATAATGAATTATCTGAGACAAGGCATCTACATATAAATTTAACAGAGTAGCAAAAGTTGCAGGTTTTTAAAAACAATTTCAAAAACTAATTGAGAGAATAAATGATATGTGATAGATCTATTCATTACAGAAGATTATTTCTTGCTTGTTGATTTGTGCATTCATCACGTAAAAATTACAGATTTAATTTAGATGGAGCCTAAAGAAAAACATAGGGCTTCGCTTGGAGTAACATTTAGTTTCCATTTCATGGTAATTATCGGCTTGCTCAATTACACGATATACAAATGCATGAAAACATGCAGCACAAAATGACAATCGGTAGGTTCGTACTAGTCAATAAAAAAATAAATAAAATGTGTTAACCATCCATTTCGAGTATTTAATGCTGAATTGGACTTTAAAACAATACTTACTTTGTGTAGAGTACTTTAGTCGCTTCAGTTTAGTTTTGTAAGAGTAAATCCTTTCCTTTATTATTTATACCTATTACAAGGAAGAGAGAGATACCCTTATCTTTCTCGGCTTGTCGCAGGTACACTCCTGGTACTTTATTAAATTTGAGCATCTGTCTCTATTTAAACAGTTTGTACAGTGTCTCTCTTTTAGTAGTAATTAGTTCATAAATCTTGAGTAAATTACGCTGGCGTTGACAAGTTTTACTCACATATCTAATAAGTCTTTTATAAAAGTGGACAAAACTACTCTTTTTCAGTGTCTATTTAGATAGTATAATTACAATGTACATAATGCAAAAGTCAAAAATTAGAGTATAATAAATGAATATTTTGAATGTTAATTATCAATATACATATAAAAATATAGAAAGTGTAACTCATCTTCTTCAGAATATATTGAATTGTCATTAGTTTCTATTATAAGGGGTCACATTTAAATAGAATTTCTCTCGATAAATTTTCCTCTAGGGAATATCCATGTTTTCTTCAGGAATACGCACTTTATCGACGAAATTTTATTGTTTATTGATGTCATAAAATTAAGTATATTATTATATATACATAATATGTTAATTTAATGTAAACAATTGTCAAGACAAGCAAAAAGCGACAAAAGTAAACAAGGTATAAACACATTTAGCTTAAATTACCCCAATAAAAACTTCTGTACTTTCTTTTATTAATCTTTTAATTGGATTATGTACATTGTAATTAGTTTTGATCACTTTTTTAAAATCATATTAAATAAAACTTGTCAACACACTGTAATTAATTCAAGTCTCATGAAACAATCGGTAGTATAATAATAAAAGAAAGACTAACTCTACAAACTGTTTAAACAGAGAAAAAGATCCACAGATTTTATAAAAAATAACCGGCAGTGTTCGTTACCTGCGACTAGCCGAGAAGGATAAGGGTATCTTTCTCCTTTTTGTGGTTAGTAGATTTATTGTCCTAGTAATAAATCATGCAGTAAAAGATTTACAATTTTAACTTTATCTAAAACCGGTAAAATTAAACTGAGGCGACTACAGTTCAGTTTATTTTTTAATCCTACTGTATAGTTGCTCCAATTTAAAGTAAATAATCGAGCAATCCTAACAGTAGTGTTGAATTAATCTACTTATTTTCTATCATTAAGAACAAGTACACCACACATAATATGAGCCAACAGGGATGTGCAATAATTTTTGTTTCATCTGATCATTAATTTCACCCTACAATTGTATGTGTTCAACTACAGCACTTTATGAAACGCATAAAGTTATGATTTCACGAAGGCACTTTCATACAAAAGTCGAAACAGTCCCAGGTGGAAAACTTTAGCTTTTATATTATCAAGTACTTTAATTAAAATTCACGATTTGTAGCTTTTGAGCATAAAAAAGTAGACTACACTTTCTCACTGATTAACAGAAAGTGAATGATACCCCCATTTGAATATTTAAGCTAATCCAGCTGGTTCTGGCAATCAGTAAAAACAAACAATAAATATTTTGTCACACCTAAAAAGCTTTTATCTTGCAGTAAGGATTTTCACGAAGTCAACAGAATTGTAGCTGTCCTCATTTAATGGATTTTATTACGAAGTTTGTAAAAGTTTTAATTATTGAAGAAAAACAAAATAAAGTGTCATAGTAAGACGTAGCTTGGTTATTTTAGGCGAAAGTCGATTGACATTTGCATGGAGTGAAGAGCAAAGTGAATCACTATACTTCGTTTACTTTCTGTAGCCATGTGACCTT